ACGCCGCTGGGAGGTCTGCCGTGCTGCGTGGTACCTTGTGAAGGCCATTCACGAGGCGCCGGCTTTTCTTGGCGCGCATGCCAATGCCTTAATGCGTGCAGGTCCAACACTGCGCCTGGGGTTGTCATTTGCCAACGGCGTTCACCTGAAATTTGACGGCTCTGTTGCGGTGGAGGATTCATTGGAAAAGGTGGAGGGGTTGCTTGCCCTGATGGGGCTTCGGGAGGCCTTTTAGTGACATCACCCAGCACACGCCGGTTGTTGTGGAGGGCTTTACTGGAGCTCAACGTCCCGCAAACCCTCAACCTCACTGCAGAGGTCGTGCGTAATGGTTTCAGGTGCGACATGCACGGCGAGGATTGCAATGCGCCGATTTCCAACGGTGTCACAGTTCAACATCTCCGTGTCGGTTAGCCTTGCTGAGTGTGTGCGGCTGCATCGTGACAAATAGCCTGGTCCCGCTTTTGGCACAACTTTTGGGTAAAATGCTCGGACACACACGATGAGCTGTGGGGCTGTTCAGGATTCCTGGGCATGTCTTCCGGATGTTGGGAAAAGTGAGTACTCAACTCCACCCCTCAATTCCGCCTTTTGGCGGGCGTGATTGCTGTGGGTGCGCCGCTTATTTTGTCAGCAGCAGCCGCCAGGAGTCTATTGGCGTTAGCGTCGAAACGTGGTAGCTACAAGCGAAGGTGACCCCGTATCAATTGAGGTGTGCACTACTGGGAGGCGCTGCCTTGATGACTCTGACTGTTCTCGCAGCCTTCGGTTTTTACTTGGTCCAGCGCCACAACTGCGGCCGGTTTGCTTGTTTGTTTTTTGGGAGAAGCTTTTCCATCAATGAGTTTCCCACTCATGGGCTCCACACACACAAAGTAGTGTATTTTGCCGGCGTGTACGTGTTTGCGGTTCCTGTTTTTTTTTGTTTTCGGCGGTGTGCGCCTTTGCACCGCGCTGCCGGTCACCGTTGTAATGCACGCTATTCCCGCAAAAACCCGGCCTGGGGGGATCTTGGGGCCGATTGGCTGCTTTGGCAAATTCTCGTTCCTCGATTCCTGCGGGGCGTGCTCCTTGTGGGGTCAGGGCCGCAGCTGAAAGGCGTTGCCTCTGCGGCGGTGCGTGCTGGATTTTACTTCTTCTTTTGCGGCAACGGCACTTTTCATTTTTATTGGGGGATGGCGCGACCACCGTCTGGCGCCGCGACACGCCACTTCGCAAAAAACGCCTCGTCGAAGGGGCCAGTTGCCGGCGGTGTGCCCGAGGCACAACCCAATGGGAGGGCGCGAGGAAGGCACGCGAAGGAATTGGCGGGCCGTGCCGTGGGGTGAGGACGTGCCTTTGCGATGGGCCAACACCGCACACTTGTCTTTGCGTGTGTCAGTCTCTCTGCTGGGTGGTTCCTTGTGCTCGGTGCACCGTGAAAGGGAGTGGCTTCGGCAGCTGTGCCGGAAGACCGTTTGATGACTCTTTGGGAGATCAGTGTCGCAAACATATTTTTCCTCATCGTCGTCTGTGGTTTCGTCGCTCGGATCGCTGCGGCGCCTTTTGTTCGCGTCACGGTGTGCAGCTGACGCACTTCTTCTGGCGTGTGTGTGTGCGTCGTTGGCCCATTTCAAATTGAACAGTTTGCACGATGCATGCTCGGCGACAAGGTGAGGGAAATTTACGGTGCCGGTGCGGCGCTGCTTTGGCCGCTCACTCCGCGGCTGATCTTCGCCGTCTGGCAGTGGGCCCTCCCGCTGCCGAACACACTTGCAAGGGGAGGGAGCGTGTGCGGCAGTGGCTGGCAGCACGCAAGGCGCCACAGTCCTCTAAGCCTCTCTAGCAGTCTTTTTTTTTGCTTTTTAATTTCCGTCTTTGTTGTGTATTATATGCGTTTGTGCCTTCTATTTTGATTTTTATCTCTCTTTTTTCCTTGGCAGCTACTGTTAATAGGGAGCGTTGGG